CTTATTGTTATCACTATTTAATTAAATTAAATTTTATAGGTGTTTACTTCAGATTAGTATTATTACTATTTGTAAATATCCTTGATGACCTTTGTAAATATCCTTGAAATATCCTGTAATCCTGTAATCCATGTAAATATCCTTGAAAGACCTTTTATTCAGAATAAATTTGATTTGATTTGATTTGATTAAACGTTTTGGAGATAGCTAATGTCTTTTGATTGATTTTGTTTTTGTGAAGTAGAAATAACAGTATATTCAAGTACAGTATATTCAAAACCAGCAATAGCGTGCAAACGTGTAAAACACTTACCGCTCTCATACACCTGTTTGAGCAACGTAGGAAAATTTTCTTTATCTAAGTTTTTATATTTTGTATCTATGTAATATTTGGTAAGAATTGCCCTCCACACTTGCTTAACATGGCAAAAGACACCTCTGTCCAGTGGCTGAAGAATGTGAGATGAGTGGGCTGGTAGACAATTCAAAATTATATTGTTTTCCTGTCATATTAATACAGCTGCTAAACTGACGTGAGACGTATGTCCATCAAGATGTAAAATATGAATACCACTAATAACTTAACATTCTGGTATATACATTTCCTTCAACCATTCAATAAATGTGTCATGCTCCATCCAACCAGATTTAGAAATTGAATATTTGGTGCCAGTCGGACCACCTAAAGCCCACTCAGCTTTAAAGTTTCGTTTTGCTTTGTATACCACGAATGGCAGTGTGAAGTATCCATAAACATTACAGCAATTTTTCACTATATAATGGATTTTTTTATTGTTACCAGTGAGTTTCAAAACATGTTTTGCACATTTTTCGACATTTGCCTCGATCACCACAGAAACCCATTTCATCACAATTCCAAATGTGACAACCAGAAGTTATCCCAGACAATTGATATTGTTTAGTGACAACTTCAAAATAATTATCAGTTATTTCTTGTGTACAAGAAGCGGCTCTGGCAGATGCTAAAGTGTGAGTTTTTCTTGTGGAAATTTCTTTAGACCATCGGTTTATAAATGCATAAAACCAGTTTTTACCAGGCCTGCTGTTTTTAGATAGGCCTGATTGATTTGTATGAACAAGATTACCACATACGAAATCCATGACATCATTTTGTGTTAAACCATAACCCCAATCACATAGGAACTTAAAAGCATGCACCATAATTGACTCTGCTCTGAAAGTACGGTTGTTGATCCTGATCCTTTGAAGCTAGCATTGTTGTTATTCTTGCGACCACAGTTGAGAATGAAATGCCATATTTGAAATAGTGAATCCATTTTTTTGTAAAAAACTGAATTCCGGATTTTCGGAATAACAGGAGATGAAATCCGGAATTCTGGTTTAATTCCGGAATTATTATAGAAGAATTTAAAAAATATAAAGAAAAGAAAGTACATTATTTTTTAACATAAATGTATTTAGTTCAAAACAATAAAATTAAAACAAATTACAAAATAAGGAAATATTTCATATTAAAATATTTTTGAACTACATAAATAAAATTGCAAAATGAAAATTCAATTTTCATTTTGATTTTTGAAAAAGCCTCTTAAAAAGCACAAAGTATCCAATGTTTTGTCGTTGAGCCTTGATCGAATTTTTGTTGAAAATGCTCCTGCAGCGGAAAAAGCGCGCTCTGACTCCACACTAGTTGGTGAAATTGTTAATAAACTTTTGTAAAGATCTTCCAAAAGCGGTCCGCGGGATACCCCTTCATCCCAAAATTTCATTTCACTGCGAATTTCGGAATGAATTGATGATTTTTGTAGAACTTTTGACCGTGATTCCAAGAGTGATTCCTTTATCTTTTGCTGAAGAATTTCCTGCAAAGATAATTGAGTTTCCAATGATTCGATAGGTTTATCATCATCCATTTCAGTAGAATCAGATACTGTCGGGTCTATTTCTAATGCTACTTCACCACTAAGTCTTTGGATTAGGGATATGATAATTTTGTTAATTTCAGTTTTCGAGCGACGCAAAATCTTCTTGTAAATTTTGGTTTTACCCCCATTATGCAAATATTGAAGAACATCAGATACCACAGTTCTTCTTTGATTAATTTGAACTTCAAACTCTTTTTTCATTTCACGGCCTATTTCTTCATTCTCATCAAAATTTTCTAACACAAACGTAAATGTTGCATCCGCAGAAAGTAAATTTGCATCAGCACGGCATAACGCGTCTACGGCTAATTTTATAGGCTTCAAATTTCTAGAAACTGTAGATATTATATTCCATTCTGAATAATTCAAAAATGTATCCGCTTTGATATCAATTATTGCCTTTTTTATTGAACTTTTCAAAAGATTAAAACGTTCTAACATGGACATCAGGCTACTCCATCTAGTCTTCTAATCAAGCAATAGCTGCAATTCCTTTCCATGATCTTCCTTCACATATTTTTGCAACACTTCATTTTTTAAAGGGGAACGTCGAAACATTTGAACAATTACTCAAACTTTCATGATTACATTTCGCAATGTAAACTTTTCAGTAATTTCTACATCACATTCATTTCTCGTCCCCACTTGCATTCCTTCATCATCACTTAAATCTTCTTCATCAGAGTCCAGATCTAAGACACTCTCATAATCATCTTCATCTACCTCTTTCTCTGTTTGTTTGTAGATCACATTTACAATTGCAATCTGAATTGCATGAGCAAAACACAAAATTTGTTCACATGGTAATAATCTACCCACTTTTTGCATCATAGAAGCACCATCATTTACAATACACAAAATATCGTTCCTTATATTTAACTGAAATGATTCTAACTTGTCCTCTAACAATTTTACACAATTTTCAGCCGCAAATTGACCATTAATTCGAGAAAGACCCAAATTCCAGATATTTTTTGACCCATGAACGTTAACATTCATATAACGTCTACTTTGAGAGGACATCCACTCGTCCAATGTTAGACTAAAGCATAAATTCTTTTTTAATTGATTAATTTTAGCAATTTGCAATTGTTTAATTTTTTTAGTATAATCCATCACGACTTTCTGCATGCTGGTGGGTGATTTTGGAATATCACCGAATCCACGCATTGTTAAACATTTTCTTAAATCGTTTGACGTACAAAAAACACGAAACGGTAAACGATCAGAAGCAATCATTCTAGCTACTACAGCAGGAAAAGTTTCATCTTTTTTTGACTTGAAAAAATCAATGATCGTGTTCGTTTTTCTGGTTGTGCTCACAACACTATCGTTACTGTCAGATGTAGAAGCTGTTGTATTTTCATCAAACTTTCGCTTGTTCAAAACTGTGTTGTGTTTAGAACGAAGATGTGTGTGCATGGGAGTTGTACATCCACCCAATATCTTTAAAACTTGCTTGCATTGCATGCATTTTGCCAACTGATTTGTTTTTCCTTGTAGAAAATATTTCCACACTGAATTTGATGAGCTTTCTTTTGAAATGTCCATAAAAGTTTCTTCAGATTTATCTACCATACTTGGGTTGGGATTTAAAACAATAACAATGTAAGTCTACAAAATTTTTGAAACATAAAATTAATATAATGACTTACTTTGTCTGCTCTGCATACAATTTAATTTCTTAATGTAAATATTTCATTTAAAAAAAAAAATTTAATGCATTTGCAGTAGCCTGAGCCTACTAAAATTTAAATTTTTTGAATTTATAACAATCGAAGTACACAATGCTGCCATCTATAGTAAAAGTTCTTCTAAATTCCAAATTCTAAAAATTTCAAAAAAAAACTTTTGTTTTGTTTTTATATTATGTATTTATTCCGTTTTAAAAATTTTAATTTTTATTACTAAAAACTGTTGTATTATACTACTGAGGATGACAACTTTGTTGTTAAAAAACGTTTTTAGTAATAAAAATTAAAATTTTTAGAACGGAAGAAATACATAATATAAAAACAAAACAAAAGTTTTTTTTTGAAATTTTTATAAAAACAGTTCTAAATAACTTCAAAAATAAAATAAGAATTAAATAATTGAAATTCTAAATTCGAAAAATCCGGAATTTATGTTTTTTTAAAAATTCAAAATATGACAGAATTCCGAAATTCTGAAATCCGGATTTGGATTCACTAATTTGAATGCAGCTTTTCTGATTGAAGTATTTTTTTTTTTAATATCATTTAATGCAGCTTCTATATCTTCTTCATTTTATGACTTTGTACTTGTTGTCATCTTGAAAATGAATAATTAATAAATATCATTGAGTCATTTTTGTAAAATAACTTTATATAGGAAGAACCCGGAGCTAACACATGAGAAAATTCAATAATTTAATTCACCTAGGTACCTAATTTAAAAATTCACATACTACTTAATAAAGGAATTTAAAATAAATACGTGAATGATCGGTTTTACCGGAAAAAATTTAATATTAATTTTTCTTACTTTTTTGTCTAATTTTTAACTATAAAATGAAAAAAAATTATGTAATTGGTATTAAAATTAAATTTTCTAAAAGATAGAGGTAAAATTATTTTTAAATGAATTATGGTTCCCGAATTATGAGGAAAGCAAATAAATGAAAAAAGCAAATTTTTACGACTCTCTTTTAAACTTTTATAAAAATAAAATGACTGAAAAATGATTTGGATTTTATTTTGAACACATTTGAATAGAGGAGATGATTCTCTTTCTTCTGGTGTTTTTATTTTTTAAATGTTCCTATCTGTTCCGGTTTTATTTAAATTTTTCGATCAGTGATCAAAAAAATAGTATGATTGGTTTGACCCGCTTTAACTCTATCCAAATTATCAAATAAATAATATAATATATGAGATATTTTAAATACTAGTTTAGATTTTTTTCATTGCTTTAACAAGAATATTTCAAATTTCAATTTGAAGAATTTCAAATTTCAATTTGAACTCCTCTTTAAATAGGATCTAGTTCTTATTTTAGTCTATTTATAAATCCTATTTGGGTCTTGACAAATTTTTTGTAATAATATATATTTTCTATGCTTTGTGTTTGTAGATTATCGATTCCCAAAGTATCAAAAAAATGGATGAGTCTACTGAAATTTATCTTAATAGAGTACTATTTTTGTTATTGTTACGTTGTTTTTACATTATAAAATAAATATTTTTGATATCAGAAAAATTTCTTTTTAGCTTGAAGAAGATATCATTGAGGCAAAATCAGTATTAAAATCAAAAAAATATAAAGCTGAAGTTCAGAAGGTAATTTTGTTATTTGAAATTGTTTATATGAGTAAAAATATATAAATTAATTTAGTTATGTATAAAATTATTTATTTTTTGTTTTAAAATTAATAAAAATACATGTAAAAGTTAAAAAATGTTTATAAAACGAAGAATTGTTTTCTTTTGGTCAAACTCTTAAAATATAGTTTATGTACATTTATTATGTACAAAAGCAATGCTCAATAAAAATTAAATTACAATATTCCAAGAAAATTAAATTGCAATTTTCCATTGGTAAAAATTTTACATTGGTAAAATACTAAATTGTAATTTAATTTTATATTTTTGATTTAAGAGACATCGATCATTTAAATTTGAACTCTTCAAACAATTTGAGCGCTAACACTCCGCTACAAGTTAAAAAACAACAGAATATTAGAAACACTTTAAGCGCTAACACTCCGCTACAAGTTAAAAAACAACAGAATATTAGAAACACTTTGAGCGCTAACACTCTGCTACAAGTTAAAAAACAACAGAATATTAGAAAAAATAACTAAACTTATAAAAATGTTTTAAATAGAAAAAATGTTTTAAAAAATGTTTTTAGTTATTTTTACTTTTCAGTTACAGTCTCCTCTTCTTTTTTCTAGGTTATTTTTCTCTGTAATTATGTTTTTTTTTTACTTTTTTTTTAATTTTATTTTTACATCTAGTTCCATTTAATTTCAATAAAGTTTATTAGAAAACCGCAAATGTTTGTCTATTTTTTTTAATGTTTTTTTCTGTTTTTTAAAATGTTTTTGCATGTGTTAAAAGTATAATATATGAAAAACATTAAACACTGTTTTGTTTTCTTCTTTTAAACCTAAAATTTTTGTTCAGTATTTCTGCTTTTTTAAGTGCATCTTTTCTATAGATAATTTTTTTCTTTAGATAAGGGGTGGTTCATAAATTACATCACGCAATTTTGTCACAACGTTGTAACACTTTAGAAACAAGTTGCATATGAGTTGTCACAAAACCACTAACACCTCTCTCCCCACCCACCCTCCTCTCTTGAGCGTGATATAATTTATGGAGAACCTCTAAATTAAAAACATTTTTATTAAATATGTTTTGGTTTACTGATTATGGTTGGAACTTGTTTTATGAAAGGGTTTAAGTTAATATTTTTATGAAAGGGTTTAATTATGTATGACTATTGATTATTAGCTTTATTATAAACTTTTAAACTAATAAACTTGCACAAATTTTTTGAGAGACTATATGCTGAATGAGAGGCTAAATGTTGAATTAGAGGCTGGAAATTGAAGGAGAGCTTAAAAGTTGAATGAGAGGCTAAATGTTGGTAAAATATTTTTCAAACTTATTCACTTTATTTGTTTTGTCTTAGAAAATTTATATAGTTTTGAATACATTTAAATGTATGTCTTGAAATTTCCAATTTTCTTATTTTAGTCTTTTTTTATTTTTATTTTGGTAAATATTATTTGTGAAAAAAAAAAAGTGAAAAATTATAGATATATATGAAGTTTTTGGTTTTTAAAATTTCACATAACTTTTAAACTTTTAAAAAATGTTGATAAATTTGAAAATTGAAAATTATTCTCTCATCCAAACATAAATAGATATATTAAGATATATTATATAATCAGAAAATTAAAAATTATAATTGTATATATATAAGCATAAAAAAAACATATTTGCAAAATGTAAATCTTAAAAATATATATATATATATACAATTTGTTTTTTAGAATACCGTGTTAAGAAACTCACTTCTTTTTTTAATGAACTCGCATTTGAAGTTAGCTCGCAAATCAGAATCTATCTTCTTAACTGCCATTGACATCATTGAAAAGATTTCAGATTTTCCTTGTGAATCTAAAGATCTTGAAAATATATTTGAATCACAGCAAACAGGTTTAATTTATTTGTATAATTTTAACTCGAAATTATAGTTAAATCACAAAAACATAAATACTATAGTTTAAATAATGAAAAAATAAAAAATAAATTTTCATTATTTCAATAAAAAACTTTTTTTATTTTGTTTTTTGTTGTTTGAAGTATTGAAGAAAATACGTAATAATCTCCAGCCAAAATTAAAATCTGTTTCATTTTGACTTTTAAATTAAAATGAAAATCTTGCTTTCACTAACAAAATGATTTTAAATCAAAATCATAAAAAAATCTAAATCATAAAATTATGGTTTCCATGGTCACAACATTAGCTAAAAAAATATAACAGAATGTATGAAAATCCAAAGTGAGTCTTGGCTTAGTTTTTTTTAATGCTAACTTTTCAAAAATTCTATCTGAAAGTCTGTTTTTTATTGGTGTCTCTGTTAAGCCTGCAATACTAAAAAGGCGCTCCACAGCTGCTGATGGAAGAGTTGCTGTGTCGTTTTGAATGAATACTTTTTTGATTGGTAAGCATTGTTGTTGAGATGATTTATTGTGGAACAATTTGTTTTCGACGAGTAAGAAAAGACCTGAAATGATAACATTAAATGATTGTTATTAAACAGTTCAAAATTCAATAACATGACATCTGACAATCATTCACAAAAAACAACTGTTGTTCTAATATTACATAACTTATACATAATTGAATTAAAATAAAATAATATAATAAAATCTTTTAATTGTTACTATTCATTTTTTTATTAAATAAGAAATAAATTTTTCAAACAAGATTGGCTATATTAAATTAATTAAATTTGATTTTCCATAAATGTATTTAACACATTCTAACACAATATTATATTAACAAATAATAAAATTTTAACAAATTAGATATTAACAAATTAATAAAAACTAGTATCTCAATTGTTAAAAAAATAAATAGTTAAAATAAATCAGTTGACATTTTAATGAGCAATTGAGTACCTGCATTTGTATGGAGCTGTTAATAGTTCAAGGTGCTGTTGTGTTACCATAACCATAGTCCTCATCATTTATTGTTAGTGTTCCTGGTTTGTCTCCTTGTTCAGATGCTCTATTCAAGTTATTTGATAATACTTATGCTGAATTAGTTAAATGCTGAGTTACAATATCACAAGACATTGGTTCTATCCACTTCAACTTCAAAACTGGATGTGACACTAATTTAACCAGGGTGTTTTACAAGAACATGCTGCCTTCTGTGTGCATTTTCTGCAATTTATGTCTTAAATGAATAAGCTTAGGCAAAAGCACACCATAATAACAATCCTTGTCACCTTGCAATTGATGTCACAGCTAATGGCTCAATCAAATTATTGTATTCAATGAAAAAATCTTTTTTCTAATATTCTGGTAAACTTTGGCAGCTGCAAGGCATCTTGCCCCGGAACCAGAAGCTTAAATTATCAGCAGCTATACTGCTACGATTTACAGCATACCACAATATTTGACATTTTCCCATGCTAATATGATACATGCGACCATAGACCATAGATGAGTATTTGACTTTATGAAAATCCCAGAAATTTTTTTTTTTTATGAAAATCCCGGAAAATTATTTTATTAAAAATTGATCGTGTTAACTGAAAACAAAAACTTTCGTAAACTTTTAAAACGGAATTTAAAAAATAAATTATTAATAGAAAATTATTAAATGGAATATTAAAAATTCCTTTTTACAAAAAGGAATTTTTAATATTCGAAAAAGTTAATTAAAAAGCAAAAAAAAAAAAAATTGTTACGAAAATTGATTTCGTGAAAATTTTAACTATAGGAAACATATTTGTTTAAATGCAAAAGTTGTCGTTTTTAAAATTAAATGTAAAAATTTATAATTTTTTTAAAACAAATTAATAAAAAAAAAACATCCGGAAATTTCTGGAAAATTAAAGGAGTTTTAATTAAATTTCCGGAATTCCCGGAAAAAACTCATCTATGATAGACTGAAATTTTAAATGCTTCCTCTGATTCCTTTGTGGCAATAAGATTCAGGCTGTGGCAGATGCATCTGATATGAAGTCGTAGTTGAAGTCTAGTAATGAGTTGCAATTGTACACTTGAAATTTTATTTAATATCTCAACAACTTTTTTTTTAACTAATTTTGATTGTCTTGTTTGATGTTAGATGTTTGTTGTTGGAGTTATTAATTCCACCTGCAAATTTTTCTTGTTTTGATTGTTCTTTAGGTTCTTTCTTTGTTATCTCTGGGTCATCCTCAACTACCATATACTTAGAAAAAGCCTTAGTAAAGTTACTTGTATTGTCAGTGACTGTAGTAACTTTCACTGCAAATTATTAATCTAACTAAGCTCTTTTTTGGGTAAACCGTATTTTAGCGTATTTTATTTGTATGCATTTAAATAACCTATTTTATTATTATTAATCAATGATCAGGGTTGGGATTGATTATTTATAATGTTATACATTAAATAAAATACGTTATTTAGTTGAATAGGAATAAAATACGATTTTACCTTAATTTGATTATCAGTGTTTATTATTTTTATGTAAAGTAAACTGAAGAAATATTTGAGGTTAAATAATTAGTCTTCTATTAAATGTTGTGTTTTACTATAAAATTTTTATAAAACATTAAATAATAACTCATACAGCTCTAAACTTTCTCTCTAATAATTTAATTCATTAAAAAAGCCAAAAGAATAATAATGATATCATATTATTTTCTAAAATTATAAAAAAAAAAAATGCATACATTCATACATATTAGCATACAAAAAAAAATGATATAAGAAACTAATTCTTTAAGGTCTTTGTACAAACACTGAACAAATCAAGGATCAAGCAGATGAAATAAATGTTGTGTTACAAAATCAGAAGCACAATTTAAAACAAATGTTTGTTCATCATGCGACAGAAGATTTCCCTCTATGTTTTGTACCAAATCAAAGTAAGAGTTAATATTACCTATTTATTTTAAATTATAAAAATGAAATTAAAATACTACATTAACTTTTTTCATCGTTAGAGTTATAAGTACCATCATTTTATTATTATTGTTTAACTTTTAGCTAAGAAATCAGATTCAACTTTACCCAAATCTTTACCTAGAAACGAGTCTGACGGCTATATTATAGCAAACAAGCCACGCAGTATTTCTGCTCCAGAATTTAAAACTTTTGCTTCAACTATAGGGAATGATAATGTTGGTATGTTCTCGAATTGTTTATTTTTTGAGATTTTTCTTTACACAACATCCCTTCTTTATAATCCAACACTCCCTTCCTCTACAGCCAACTTTTTATATCAGCTAGGAATTGAGTAATTCAAGAAATTATTTTTAATTATTGCAGTGTAAAATATGTTAAAATACTATTCATATAAATTCAGGCGAAGAAATTCGAGAAGAACTATCAAAATATTTCCAATCCAGCGATTACTACATCCCTGTTTATGATAACGATAATGAAAATCGGTCAAACAATTATTCGTGCTGTGAATCTATTAACAGTAATTCTTATGATTCTTCGAATTACGAACTTGAATCCAAAAATGTTACGGTTCTTTCAAAAACATGTTCAATAGAAAAATCAAAAAATCTCATCCGAGTAATTTTTCCTTTTGACAAAGAATTTTCGCTAAAACCTACGCCGAAACTTTCACCTAATCTTTCGCCGAAGCTTTCACCTAATCTTTCGCCGAAACTTTCACCTAATCCTTCGCCGAAACTTTCACCTAATTCGTCGCCGAAACTTTCACCTAATTTGTCGCCGAAACTTTCACCTAATTTGTCGCCGAAACTTTCACCTAATTCGTCGCCGAAACATTCACCTAATTCGTCGCCGAAACATTCACCTAATTCGTCGCCGAAACTTTCTCCTAATCCTTCTCCAAAGCTTTTGCGTAAAACCTCCCCAAGTATTTCACTAAATTTTACGCCAGATGTTTCACCAAAGCATCCATAGATCTTTCCCCGATGATGATTCCCAAAGAAATAGAAAGAAACAGCAAGTTGTTAATTGTTCATTTTAAATAACAACAAAAAATTTCTCAGCTTAATCAGTCAAAAACAAAACAAAATAGAAGAAGTTTGAGAAAAATAAAATTTAAAAGAACGAGTTAATGTTGCTATGGTGCCGTATCTTGCTACAATTTGGAAACTTTGTTACTTTCTTCACTTTTTGGAGATTCTCTATTATCTCATTTCGCCTTTAAAACACGCATCTATCACCCTAAATTTAAATTGAAGAAAATTTATTTTTTGGGTTTAATCATCAAAGAATTGTTAGACACCTTAATTTTCATTGAGTTTTTATTTTGTTTTATTTCAAGTTTTATTTATTTTTTATTCATTTATTATTTTTTTTTTTTTTTTTTTTTAATCTTTGTTTGACACTTTTAAAATATTTAACATTGTTGTATTGGAATTTTTTAATTTTTTAAAAATGCCATTAATCTGCAATATATTTTTTTAAATGTAATTTTTATATGCAAAAAGTCAAGATTTTTACTGAATGTACAATTTTTTTCCTTATATTTGTTTATAAATATTAATTTTTTTAATATACATCATATTTTCATTCGTTACATTCTTAAGGACAATTGATATGTAACCGATACGTATCTTTGTTACGGATCGTTACGTAACATTGTTATCGGAAAATATTATCTGTGTCGTATTAAAACTTTTTGGGGCCCGGTGCTATTCTAAAGCAGGAAGCCCCTTTTCATGTCACATCTCTAAGATTTAATTTGAGAGTTTCTATTTAAAAAAAGCTTTTATTTTGAGTCTAGGCCTCAAAAACTGCGGGGCGCGGAACTATACCCTATTTTATAAACAAGCGTTTCTTCATCGTTTTTATCAACTCTAATATAATAATTTCAATTTTTATTCCCTATTCAAAGCATCTCATTAAAAACTTTTTTTCTATAGTAATACTTGTTCTATCAGTAACTGGTACATTTAGGTACAAATGTACTTTAAACCCCTAACCCTGAGAAGATCAGGTTACTTTTAGAACTTTGTCTTTCTCATTGCTATAGCTTACATGAAAATGATATTTATGAGATCAAAAACTCCGGACCAATAGAATTAGCTCTTACGGTGGTGGTTGCCGGGTGTTATTTGAGTATCACGAAAGTAATTCTCTCTCAATGGCGCTTAACAATAACATTCATGTCAAATCATTTAAAAGATATCATGATGAAATACATTTACGATTCCGGATAGAAAAATATTCCGGGTAGAAAAAGATGCACACAAGATTTTAATCTATTTTATAAACAACATGAAATTATTTAATACGCTGATCTGCTGATCCAATACGTTAAACTATCTTGATATTTCAGTTACTAACAACTAAATAGGTAGATATAGTTTTAAAATACATTGCGTAAATACAATCCCAAACGTTCAAATTTACCGAATTGATATTATGACCCTAAAATTATCGATGGTGTTTCCACAGTAGCGGTAGAATTTTCTGATGTTACAGGTATGATACTTTCAGACCTTGTGCAAACTCTAAATTCTTACTTCAAATGAGAAATCATTTGAAGTAAGCATGATCAGAGTAAGACCCCCCCCCCCCCCACGTGACCCCTACTCGCATGAAAGAATTCGCAGAGCTAATAATGATTAAATATGCTACAATGTCTGTTAGTTTTGCAAACTTGATTGCCGCACTAGTGTTGTTTATGACACTACCTGTCACTGTGGCTACGGCAGAAAGATTGTTTTGAAAAAAAGATAATAAAAATTTATTTACGCAGTTCTAAAGGCAAAGAGCGTTTTCATAATCTTTCTATGTTGGGAATTGAAGCAAAAACAGACTAAACTATGGAAATCAAAGACGTGATTTCAGATATTGCCAATATAAAATCAAAGAGGAAAGATTTACAATTTTAGATATAATGTAATTTATTTATTTAACAAAAATATTTAAATAAAAATTTATATTTTTTTCTATGTGGTGGGTTATGTACTAATATGTGGTAGGTTATGTAATAATACTAAAATGTGAAGTTTCGCCACTGAATAGACAAATATTCGTCTCAAAACAACAATTAAATGTACAGACTGGAAAGTTACGAACAGTTATATTCTGACAATAATTCTGACATAATAATCAATAATCATAATAAAAATTTAATATTAATAATCATAATAAAAACAATTGTCGATAAAAATAAATCATCAAAAGTACAATATGATTAAAAAATAACAATTTTTAATAAAAAAACAATAAATAACAAAACAGAATTTTTCTGTTAATAAAAAATTAAAGTTTTTCAACAACACAAAAAATAAAAACGTGGACACTAACTCAAATATTTAATCGAAGTGTTTAAAACGAATGAAAATATTTAAATAAAAAAGGAAATCGTATCCTTAATAACGAGGGTGTCAATACTACCACAAAAAATATTGTAAAAATAATTATTTTTAACAAATAGAGTTAAATAAAAATAGTTTAATTTAATATAGTTAAATAAATAAAAAGAAGTTTTATTTCAAATTATTTAAAGTTTAAAGGTCTATTTAGTTTAAAATAAATATATATATATATATATATATATATATATATATATATATATATATATATATATATATATATATATATATATATATATATATATATATATATATATATATATATATATATATATATATATATAATTAAAATGTTTGTTTAGTTTAAAATTTTAGAATTAACGAATATAAACAAAAGTTAAAAATTATTTTCAGCCTTTACTATTATTGTTTTTATTATTATTTATTATTATTTTATAAGAACAATAGAAGTTAATACTTTCTAATCGTCAGCTTTTTATCAACAGTATTACATGACGTCAACTTGGTATACTTAAGTACACTAAGTTGACGTCATGCAACAATCAGTGTTGATAAAATGTAAAAAAGATCTAAAGCATGTTATAATAAAAAAACGTGAATTTGATTTTAATACGAATTTAAATGTTTTGATTTATTTATAATTTTGCATAATATAGTTTAAATTTATATAGAGTTATAAATTATATGCAGAGTGCAACTAGTAAATAAATCAGTTTTTACAATAAAACTAAATCGCTTCGGATTTATTATTTACTAGTTTGCTGACTTAATTATCGAAAAGCAGTTTCAATGGATTTAAATTAAACCGTATTTACCGATGCTTACTTTATTTTGGATCAGCAGTATATGTTAATCAGCAATGAAATCAGTAATTAACCGTAATCAGTAATCATAAATCTGTTGAGTTTTTTTAAATAGAGGAATAATTTTCTTATTACATGTACTTTATTTTTACTGATACTGAAGTTAGGAAATAAAATAGTTGGAATTATTAATCAAAATTATAAAACTAAAAATTAGTACTTCAAACTTTTTTAAAAATTAAATAGATATTATTATTTTAGTATGTTTATACTATATTCATATATCTTATCATATTTATTTTTTTTATTTATTTTAGCAGTTAAACTTATATTCTTGAAAAATGGAAAATAAGTTACCTATCATTGATTTCTCGCCTATTTTCAGCAAATGTTTGACAAGTGAAGCGTTATGGCAGCATTTTGAAAACGACAAAGAAGTTCAAGAAATTATCAAAAACTTTCGCGATGGTTTTTGCACTTGGGGGTTTATATACGTCAAAGGACATGGCATTGACGAATCCGATATAAAAACTGTTAATAAAAAGGCAAAACAGTTTTTTAATTTTCCTTTAAATTTCAAAAATAATTACTTCCGTGGCAATGGAATTGCTTTAGGTTATGTTCCTGTTAACGGCGAAAAGTTTACAGACAAACGACCATTTGACATTAAAGAAGCTTTGGACTATTTACCAAACTCAACCTTGTCGAAAAACATGTACACAAGGCTTCCAGACTTCGTTAACACTTTAAATGAGTTTTTTGATAAGTCCAGCAATTTAGTTAATATTATTTTGCGGGTGCTTGCGGTGGCACTGGGGTTAAATACTGAGCATTTTGTGAAGTTGCATTCAAGTATGGGTAATCACAGCAAAAATGGTACTACGATGCGGCTGTTATACTATCCAGAGGTAATTAAAACTATATCTAAAGAACAACTTCGTTGCAGTGAACACACAGACTACGGAACTTTAACAATGTTGTTTCAAGATGCGGTTGGAGGACTTGAGGTGTTTAAACTTATTTTTTTTTTACTTTTGTAATAAATCAGTATTATTATTTTAAAATTGACATTTGATCTTTTTTTTTAGGTGCTCTCACCATTTGGTGAATTTGTTCCAGTAACTCCTATTCCTGGTACCGTTGTTATAAATGGTGGTGATTTACTTGAAGCATGGAGCAACGGAAAGTTTAAAGCTACATTACACAAAGTTTCATTGACATCTTCAGCATCACCAAGACAGTCCATTGCTTTTTTCACACACCCAAACTACGATACAGACATTACATATGTTGATGAATTTGGTATTAAGCATACAAGAAATGCTCGCGAACACCTTGAAAAAAGATTTTCAACAACTATATATTAATTTAAAGCTTTATATAAAATCTATTGATATTAATCCAAGTTTGTAGCTAAAGTTTGTTTAGTTTTTACAGTGTTAGTAAAGATGTTACAGTTTGTGTCACCAGTGTGACCAGTATTACAGTTTGTAATTTAGTTTTTGTATTGATGTTATTGTCATTAAAGGTGTTATTCTGATTAAAAGTGTTTTAGTGTTTAAAGGTATTTTAGTGTTTGTGAAAGTGTTAAAATGTTTGATGTTGTAATTGTGTAAAGAGCTTTGGTGTTTTTTATTAGTTTGCTAACGAAATTGATTTGACGTTGAAACTTTATATATTTACAATGTTGTTGGTTTTATATTTTTGCTTTTGTTATGACTGTGATTTCGGTCTTTTGTGATTTTTTTATTATTTTAAACAAAAGCATCAATTTCGGTGTTTTTGTTCTTATTAGAACACTTGTCACACCGTAGCGGAAATAATTTATTTAAAAAAAGTCTAACAGAAATGGTTTGCATTTTCAAACTAGGTATCGACCGCGTATTTTTATAATTCAAACATTAAAAATATTCTGTCAACGTCTTTAAAAATATAGGGGTGTTGAACAGGCATGTCAGGGATTATTGGTGTAACTTTTTTGTTAGTAGTATTTTAAACTAGATCTTAATTCTTCAAAAAGGTTTGTTTATCTAAGCTATGTAATTTATGTCAACTATGTAAGATCCAATGTAATTTATGACAACTATGTAAAGTTGTATGTAATTTATGTCAACATTGCAAGGTTGTACCTTTTGAGCGCTAAAGTATTTTTTCACTATGTTTTACAGATAAAGTCGCATTCATTATAGTAGGGCTTTTTTAAAAAGCTAATACTTTCATCTTCCTCTTACAAATACTTGGACCTCAAGGTCCTATTTTAAGGCAATATTATTTCTGAACTCTAATCACCGGAATTTTTTAAACATGCTCTTTGTAACAGTACAAACATACATATCTTTTGTTTACTTATCTTGAACAATTACAAATTTTAGTATCGGTCTTTTAGTATATATTTGATTATTTTTTGTTTAGAGAATGGTTTAAGCAACACAAATAAAAATTTGCAAACATAATTATATACATTCAATCAATGAAAGTTTCCAAAAAAATACACATATAAATTACAATATTACAAGTTTATTATAAAGTAAACTGTTTTTAAGAAGGTATGCCGGGTGTTGTACGTAACTGTTGATTTGAAATGTTCTTCCAAAACTGTTTAAAATCATAAATAACAGATTTAGAGGGCAGTTCAGACTAAAAATAGTTCTTTATGCATGATAAGAACATACACTTTCTGTGACACACTTAGACCAAGTTTCACATAAGCCTCTCTGTAATAGTTAACAGTGGATTCATATTCACGTAACCAGTTAGAGTCAAGACGTGCAGCATTTAGCTAGTTTTCCAATTTGATAGAACCTATAGGTTGAAAATATTTTTCATTATTAGTTTAAATTCTAGTTGATGAAGTTCTAAAAGTTCCAAGATTTTCAATAAACTTTAACTAGTGGAAGATCAATCATCAACTAGTGGAAGATCAATCATCAACTAGTGGAAGATCAACTAGTAGAAGATCAATCATCAACTAGTGGAAGATCAACTAGTGGAAGATTAATCATCAACTAGTGGAAGATCAATTAGTAGAAGATCAATCATCAACTAGTGGAAGATCAACTAGTGGAAGATTAATCATCAACTAGTGGAAGATCAACTAGTAGAAGATCAATCATCAACTAGTGGGAGATCAATCATCAACTAGTGGAAGATCAACTTGTGGAAGATCAACTAGTGGAAGATCAACTAGTGGAAGATTAATGCAATTAACATTAAAAGTGCAGCTTAAAGCTTTGATTTTTCTTAATTTTTACAGGCGGTATCGTAAACAATACCTGATGAGCAAATATTCCAAAATTTCCGTTAGTTCAAAAGCCTGCTCTTCTTCCTTGATAGTATTTCACGAAAGACATCAATGTATTGATGCTGGATTTTCAATTCCAAAAATTATATTGGCCAATTTCATATCGAAAGTACAATGGTTTTGTAAATCATTTTATCAAAATAGCAAGAATTTCCCTTAGATTTAAATGAGATTTTTTTTGCCACGTTTACTTCTAAGCTAATAATAGAAAAATTTTTTATTTTGTTTATGCCTCCATTTTTGTACTTTTCGTTGCCTATTCCTTAAGCATAGCTAAGCTTTTATTTAACTTTACATTCTGTCACTTTTTTAATATTTAAATAAACTTTTAAAAATCCGCCTCCAAAGTCAATGCCCACCTTTAGAATGTATATTTTTTGACGTTTTCTCTCCTTTATTACTGTCTCATCAAGTCCTTTAATGTTTTTACAATAAAAAAATTGCCTAGAATCTTTTTCAAAAACGATTTCATCAAAATCTTCTTTGTCGCGAATTGAAGTTCGGCACCTTGTATATTTTAATATGAAAAGAAAAACTCATTCTTGTTTTCAGGCAAACATATTTATATATACAAACATTTTAAGAAATATTTCAAATACTTTATATAAATTTCTAAATTTTAAATTTTAATTGTTAAATCAAGAGTAATAAAAGAATATCAAAGATTTGCCTTTTATCTTTTTATCTTTGCAACAGGTGATGATGTATTTACTTTTCTTAGTTTAATTTACTTTTTATTTTCAAATGTTAATTTTGAAGTAATTGTAATACGAGTAATTTTAAAGGTGTCACACACACGGATGATTGGTATCTTATAGTATTACTAACTTTGGCTTTTGAGAAATCATACGGTTAACTCAGAATAATTTCTATGAATAATTAAAATGCTTTTCTCCATTTTTATCTTACGGATTTGTCACAGGGCAACGCAGATGAGTATTTAACTAGGAGGTTTATGCCTCCTTTCTTACTGATGACAAAAAATACGCCTAGAGCTGGCATTGAAGCGCTCTAACCACTGCGCTACAGGTACTTGGTATACTATATTCTATTTCTAGGTAATCTGATGTAAATTGACCAATTAAACATAATTTTGGGTAGTTTTAAGTAAATATCTACTTTTTTTTTAAATTAAACTTAGAAGCCCCAAGAAGTCCTTACGGTCTTCTAAGGAAGTTCACGCCTCCTTACCGAAGTTGTAAAACTTGCCCAGATGTTGCATTGAACCATGGATCTTTAGCTTCAGAAACAAGCGCGCTAACCACGGCGCCCCGGCTGCTCCTACTTAAATCTACCAAGCTATAACAAGTTCAGTGTATACATGTTGCAGTATCTTTAGAATGCTGCAGACCTTGTATTTTACTTGTGAACCTGCCATTTTATGCGCGATACCACCAAATTATAGTGTCTTATGCATTGTATCTGCACCAATGGCTTTAACATTTACCAAATAATAACTTTATTGATAAGTATTACAGTATCATTAACATCGTAAGGACTCATGTCATATTGCAAAAGAGCAGTTTTTTGCAAAAATACACTCAACACTGTTGAGACACACCGGCGTTTAACAGGTTTTGTAGCAATATTTTATTCAATAAGATTCATTCAGCTCAGATTATTTGAGAAAACCTTTATAATCTTAAGTACCGTAAAGCTGATTTAGATAAATTCATTTCGCAATTCTGGTCACTCAAATAATAGTTCTTTCCAGGGTCGACAACACGGTTTTGAAGTGGAGGGGCGTAATTGACAATTTTAAAAATTCTTCTGTATCTAGAAATTTCAAAAAAAAAAATATAATAAAAGTTTATTAACAAAAACGGTGAAAGGGGAGGAGGAAAGGGGAAGGGAGGACAATGCTCCCTGATTACCCCTTCCCCCCCCTCCCTTCGGTGTCGTCGGCCTTGCTTTCAGTTAATGTATAAGAACTTATATATGATACTTAACTTCTGCTTATCAAGAAGGGAAATAATAATAGAATAAATTTTTCCTCCGCACACGGTCTCAATATTAGAGGCCAATGCAACTCACAGACAACAGTATACTTGGTAACAACCAATTTAGAATTAGAAACACTTTTATTTGGTAAGTTTATAAAAAAAGAAAAGTTAAGCTGATTAAAAAATCGATTTTTCGATGTATGGATTTGTTGAAGAAACTGTAGTCAAAAAAAAGTTTTTCTCAACCAAGCTATGTCATAACTTTTTCAATTCTTACCGAAATGCAAATAACTTGGTAGTAATAGATAGGTAAAGGAGTGGAATCATATTTACGTTAAGCTCTAACCACCGGGCTAGGGATGGCAATCCCGGGATCCCGGGATTGCCATCCCTAAATTTAATTATTTAAAAAAAAGAAAATTAGGCAGCGTTTGCAGTCCTCTGTTACATAGTCGCTCAACCATCAGTATTATAATTCCTATCCTATAATTATATTCCTATTTTTTTAAAACCACTTTGTGCTTTAAAAGTAACGGTATTATTTTCAAAGTTATTGTTGTCTCAGTCTGCTGTGCATTCAAAAAAGATTCATGTAAGTACCTTGTCTACATTACATTGTTTAAACGTTTATACAAGGGTGCAACCTGCAGCTCGCAAGCCTCTTGCCATTTTTTCAATGTCAAGATGAAGCTCTTTAGTTGCATCTTGACATTGAAATATTATTATCTTGACATGCACAAATATTAGTATAATCAGGGAAGCGGAGTCCCAAAAGGACTCCGGTTTATATCTCTATTTTTTACTGGTCTCTGGTGTCCAAAAATTCTGAACATTTTGGATGATTAATGATCTGCTAAATAAAAAAAATTCATGAAATTTAATGACTTGAAACATTTTGTTTTTAAGCCCGGAGTCCCAGTATCCTAGCCGCCATTATACCTAAGGATTCCGGTTTCAAAAAGAGATTATTCCTCTAACCTAAAAGTCCTAACTTTTTTACAAATAGTAATCTATAAGCATTTTTATATTATTAGAGCTCCTGGATACCAAAAACTAGGAAGAAATAATCTTTTTGTGACATTCAAATCCGGAGTCCTTTTTGGGACTCCGCATCCCTAAATATAATATTGAAATAAAGATGTTGGTAGCTCTTTAAAAACTGAAAAACCTTGTATATTGTAACTTTTAGCTCTTCCGTCTCAAAAGGTTGCCAACACCTGGTTTATAAAATTGGTAAATGCTTTTTTGTTATTCTAGACTCTATTAAAAATAATTGGCTTTCATTGTAAATTTGTATTAGGTCTAATGTTAAAGGGAGGAGAATCATGGCCTACTTAAATTTAAGTAGGCCATGGGAGAATTTTATTAATTTTAAATATGATTATAATTTAAAGGTGTAAACATTTTTGTGAACCCTTTAATCTTTTTTTTCTTAAGAGAAAAAAAAGATTAAAGGGTTTTCAAAAAAAGGCTTTTTTGTATTTTTAAACTGGAATTATGTTTATAAGTTAAAAGTTTAATTTTTTTTTCTATACCTTTTACTTTAATTCATTTTTTGTTCAGAGGAAACATTTGTAATTTGAAATGATTATATTCATTTAGTTAAAAAGTTGTTAGTTAAAATTTGAATACATTTTTTTTTTCTAAACATTTTACTTTGAACCACTTTTTTGTTTCAATTTAAAAAAAAATTTCAATTTTTTTTTTGGGGGGGGGGGGAGGGTTTGAATGTTGACGTAATTTTATTGGCGGGTCACTGAAAGTTTTACAAGTTGTTGACAAGGGGAGGGGGAGGTAAAAATTGCCGAAAAATTGTTAACGTAATTAATGGACAGCCCCGAAGTTTTACCTTAATAAAAAAGAAAGTATACCTTAGTTTAATTTTGAATTTTTTGCTTCCAAAAGTGTGCCCGATTTTAATTTCATTTTTATATCAATTCATTTAAATTTCGAACGCGTGAGTGACTCAAATTCCATTTTTATTTCCATTAATTTTAATTTCAAATACGCGCGTGATTTACGACAGTTTTTTAAAGTCAATTTAGTTAAATTAAAGTTATCAAAAAACAGAAGGTTTATTAAATTACAAAAGTTTCATGCATATTTATATTATTTTTCAATTATAATTTTTGTTTATACTGTCTCCATTTTAAGGTATTGTTTTCAAAATTTTTTGCCATCCCACCGGGCGTATCGGATGAACAGAGGTGGAGCCAAACCACTTCATTACCCGTATGAAACTAAACACTTTTTTCAGAAAAAATTGTTTTTTAAGTGAAAGTTTAAATTTTAAAATACAAAAAGTGATTATAATTTTAAACTAGACCATTAACATATATAAGAGGTTAAATAAAGAGTTGGATATGGTGACAATAGCTTCACATGTGTTATGCTATCGCCACCATATCTAACTCTAAATTTAACCTCTTATATGAATGATTTAAAAGTAGGTATTTTGCGAACCGACATATCAGATCATTTCCCTATATTCCTAAAATTAGAAAATACAAACTCTGAAAAAACTTAACCGCACAAAAAGTAATTCAAAAACGCATTTATAATGAGGCTATCCTTAATTTATTCAAAAATCAACTTTCATTACTGCACTGGAATAACATAAATTTTAATGATAATGCTAACAATATCTATGAGTCTTTTTTCAAAACATTTTTTTCTGTATACGATGCTAATTTCCCAATCATTGAAAATAAAATAACTACTAAGAGCTGCAATACACCCTAGATCATTAAGGGCTTTAAAAAATCGTCCAAAATTAAACAAAAACTACATATAAATTTTTTGAAAACAAAAACACCTAAAAACGAAAAAATTTACAAGGACTATAAAAATCTATTTGAAAAAATTCGCAAAAAATCTAAAAAAAAATTATTACTCTCAATTACTCAATACATTTAAAAATGACACAAAACGCACATGGCAAATAATGAATGAAATTATTGGAAAACAAAAATCATGCTCAGGTTTTCTGCCACAAATGAGTCGATAACAAAAGTTTATACGAACCAAAAACTATAGCTCAAAAATTAAACAAATTTTTTATCAATATAGGTCTAACATTTTCTAAAAAAATCCCTAAGACCAAATCTTTATTTACTGATTTTCTAGTACCCATTAATAATTGCATTGGTTCAGTTGAGTTGTCTTCTGAATTATTGTTTGAAGAGTTTGAAAAAGCCTTCAAATCATTAAAAAAAATAAAGCATTGGAGCAGATAAAATAAATGGAAACGTTATTATAGATTGTTTTGAACAGCTAAAAGTTGTTCTTTTTAAAGTTTTTAAAGCTTCTATCCATCAAGGTGTTTTCCCCGAACTGTTAAAAAATGTCAAAATTAATCCTATTTTCAAAGAAGTGGACAAATCAATTATTAGTAACTATTGCCCTATTTCTGTTCTTTCCACATTTTCAAAAATTTTAGAAAGAATTATATATAACAGAGTATACAAATATTTTCATGTTAATAAATTACTTTACATTAATCAATTCGGTTTTAAAAAGGATAGCTCAACTGAACATGCAATTATCCAATTTGTGCGTGAAATCTCAAAATCATTTGAAAAATCACAATATACTCTAGGACTTTTTATTGATCTATCAAAAGCTTTTGATACGGTTGATCACTAAATTCTAATCTATAAACTTAAACACTATGGAATAAAAAATTAAGGTTTAAAATGGTTTGAAAGCAATTTGTCAAATCGTAAAGAATTTGTTCCGAGTAATGACGGTTATCGTACCAATTTTCTTTCTATAACATGTGGAGTCCCACAAGGCTCAATTCTTGGTCCACTCTTTTTCCTAATTTATTTTAATGATTTAAATGAAGCCTCTAAACAACAACAAGTATTATGTTTGCAGATGATACTAACTTATTTCTTTCAAACAGTGATATCTTTGAACTTTTTAAAACAATGAACAAAGAGCTTATACATGTATCGAGTTGGTTTAAATGTAATAAGTTAACTTTTAATTCTAATAAAACAAAGTGGACCTTATTCCATTCGCTTTCCAAAAAACGGTATTTGCCATTAAATTTACCTAAAATTTTTATTGATAAAAATGAAATAAAAAGGGATTCCGTAACAAAATTGTTAGGTGTTTATCTTGATGAAAACATCACTTGGAATAATCATATCGACTACATAAGCACTAAAATTTCAAAAAACGTAGGAGTTTTATATAAAGCACGAACCTACCTCAATAAGAAAATTTTAATCAAACTTTATTATTCATTTATACACAATTATTTAAATTATGCTAATATCGCCTGGGGTGGTACAGAAAAAAGTTGCAACGTCTTCATCGCCGTCAGAAACATGCTATCCGTTTAATCTTCTTTGCAAATCGCTTTTCTCACGCAAAACACTATTTTATTGAAATGAGAATTTTAAATATATACGAGCTAAATATATATAATGTTTTATGCTTTGTATACATGTGAAAAAATAACTTATTTAAATTATTTAAATTATTACTAAATATTGAGGTCATATTATTTGAGGTAGATATAAAGATATACATAAAGGTTTAAGTGAGGGCCAAACTGTGATATGTAAATATTATCTTGAAGTTTATTAGTTGTTACATCATGGAAAGATTTTCTGTTTATAATATAGGCTTTTCGAGGCATAAGAAATGCTTTTATTTTCATCAACGCGTTTAATTCCATACTTTTAAAGCTTTAATAAGATGATATTTGTTTATAGCTTTTGAATTAAAGTTTATACGACCTGTTGAAGATGAATTTTTTTTTCCGATTTCTAAAATTTAAAACAAAAATTAACTAAAAATATAAGTTGCTACACATAAATTGTAAACTGTTTTATAAATTAAAATATATGCGCTATTATTTTTTTATATATTGATAGATTTATCTTTTTTTGAACAACAGAACTTCGTTGCAAGTTTTTTGCTCGTAAGGAAGAAATTTTATTTAACTTGAAAGTTAAAGTATTTTTGTATGTTTTTTGAGTGCAAATTTTTACTTTCTTTAGTTTATTAAAAAAACGCCCAAAATCCTACAGTCTGTAAATACTTTAAAATCTTTATTAAGTATTTATATGATATTTTAAAATTGGTTTGAGCCTCAACGAAGTACCACCTTGTCTAAAAAATAACTTTTAGACAACAGCAGGGGTAGAGCCACAAAAAAACCCCAAAACGTGAGAGCAACAAACTTATGAAATATTTTTTGAACTATTTTCAACTAGGCTTATATTCCTCGGTAAATTTTTAATTTTCATTGCAAAATATTTTAGCGTTCAAAAAATATGACAATATAAAGTTTAAACCCCCTCATTTTGAGGGGGTTTAAACTTTATTTATATTTAACACACACACACACACACACACACATATAATATATATATATATATATATATATATATATATATATATATATATATATATATATATATATATATATATATATATATATATATATATATATATATATGTATATATTATATATATATATATATATATATATATATACATATATATATATATATATAATATATATATATATATATATATATATATATATATATATATATATATATATATATATATATATATATATATATATATATATATATATATATATATATGTAGTCGGCGTTCTTTTTGACAAAAAAGACAATAGGAAAAGTCGTGTTACTTGAAAAGTCACATTAATTTGATTGAAATAAAAGATTTTTCTATAATATTAACATTTTAGGAAAATCTTTTATTTCAATCAAATTAATATGACTTTTCAAATAACATGACTTTTCCAATTGACTTTTTTGTCAAAAAGAACGCCTACAAAATATTGACTAGTATGCTAATATTGGCATATATTTTGCAATAATGCAAAAAAAAAAAAAAAAAAAAAAGTACTAAAATGAAAAACGCATGATTAATAGAACCCATAAAAAAAAAACATGATTGATAGAACCTATGGGTTCTATCAATCATATGTTTTTTTAAATATGCTCATAGATTATGCGTATTTATATCAAATTTTTTTTTTTTCAAATTCATCGTTTTGGTCTTAACAACCCCTCCTCATTTTTAACTGTCGTCAGCACCCTCTCACCCTCACCCCTCATTTTTAGAAAATTTATAACAACATTTTTAAGTAAAATTACTCCACATAACTAATATTTAATTGTCCGAATAAAAAAATGTAATAAAAAAGGTTTTAATACGGACTAGTTTAGAAGATGTGTCTTTCGATAACCTTTGCAAAAATATACTATATATTTTTAGATATTTCATAATAAAATTTTTTTTTACCAGCAACAGTCGCTAATTTTAAGGATGAATTTAAATTGATTTTCAAAATATAATTTAATGTTATAGTATTTTGTTTTTGCTTTTTATTGCGGACGAAAATGGAATTACTTTGAGTCTGTAGCCTTCTTTTGTTTAGAAATAATTACCAATAATACGCATGCGCTTATAAACTGAAACTTAAAGTTTAACTCATAATGGCGGTAAACTCGTAGGGAAAAAAGTGAAAAAAGACTTCTCTATATATTCAGTGATTAGTGTAACATTCTAATGGTTACCTAACTTAAAGACATCAGTTTTTGAATTTATAAAGAAAGAGGTAGATTATTGCATATTTTAAAGATAGTTATATAGTTTTATAAATAACGAACTATTTATAACTTTAAAATGTCAACCGAAAAACTCTTTCTTAAATTCAACAACAAGTTTTCTATCATTATTTTATAGTGTAAGCGATCTGTTTTTTTTTTAAATTTGCAAATAGTTCTTTTATAATCAAAAATGGTTGTACCATTTTGAGTTGTTTTTAAATCTTTTATCTCTAATTTATGTTTTATTTAATACATTAATCAAAGTAAAATGTTAAGTAAACTAAATTTACATCATTTTTTCATGATTCCTTTTTTTCAAAACTTTAACAGCTTTTTTAATTTTTCAACAGAAGTAAAAATATCTATGTTGTAGACCCTTAAATTAAAACAAATTAGATTAAGGGCAAATGGTACTTTTTAGGTAAATTTAAAAAATGATATTTAAAAGTAAAAAAAAAAAAAAACTAAAAGGAAAATCTTTTTAAAATTAAAAAAAAATATTTTGTCAATATATATTGAAAATAAGTTTTTTTGTGCAAATTTATTTTTTTTAATTTAAGTTCAAAAAATAATTAAAAATGATTGAATTGTTTACTAAAACTTTAGGTGTACAACAAAAAATAAAATCATTAAAGTATAGGTTAAAAAATAACTTTGAAATTAAAATTTTTAGGCTGCTAAAAATGTTATGTAGTATATTCAATATATATCAAAAACTGCAATAATTGTTATGTTGTATATTTAGGTATTTGCTTTACAAAAGTATTTGTACTAGTGTAAGTTTTCTCAAAATTTTATAACTTATTTTAAAATATATTTGATTTGATTGAAATAAATGGTTTACAGGAGACTTGTTAATGGTCAGGAAAGGATATAGACAAAAGAGAATTGTTGGTATTGAGGAGTAAACTAAATTATAGTTTTAGCTTTTTGGGCATAAAGAAATATTTACAGTGAAAAGATTGCAACTTTGCTAAATGATGAGTTACAGAAGATTGTATTTTCGGGGCAGTAAAGGAAAATAGCTCAGTTTATATGGTTGAGTACACCATGGCTGTATTGTGTTTTGTATCATTTCTAGAATGCAAAAGCATTAGAAGATTAATTTATTTGGATGTATGCTTTCCAAGGGAACAGTATTTAAAGATATTTTTAAAAAAATTAATGGTCTCAGTATAAGTTTTGCCATTTGTCAGCGTAAAATATCAATATTGTAATTATTATTTGTATTAAGCAACTGAGTTTTGTTTTGGTTCAAATTCACCTGCCAGTGTGAGCCCAAAACTGTCACATAACAAACAAATATAGATAAAAATGGTTATATTTTTTTTATAAAATGATTCATACTTTTGAATTTTTTGTAATAATGATTTTGTAATAATGAAATTATTGTAATAATGAAATTTTTGTAATAATATTAATGTTCGAGGGTCAGTAGCATTTCCTCAAAATATTTCTTATTCAAAAAATCTTTAATCTAATTTTATTTTATTATATAGAATGTATTTAGGGGGGGACCAGCAGATATTTTTCAATAAAATTTTCAAACGTAACAAATTTTTTTTGATTATGTCAAAAAAAAACAACTATTATAAATGAAAAACACTGATGAAAAGGACTGATATTTATTTTTAATTGCAGTGTTCAAGCTATTCTTGATAAACAACTCCTCTTCATTTACAGTAACTTTTGGTACCCCAAAAGTTACTGTAAATGAAGAGGAGTTGTCTATCAAGAACAGATTGAATACTGCAATTAAAAAGAAATAATTCAATAATTTTGAAACTTTTTATAAATACAGTTTATCAAGAGAGGTTATTGAGAAGACAAGGAGACTTTAAAAAGGTTTTGATAAGTGAAAAACAATGGCACTTGCAAAAATACTTCTATTAGGGTGATTCTAAGAACAACTTTTTTTGAAATTGTCTGCTGCCACCCCCTAAATGTGTTTTATGTAATAAATTAATACTAAATTAAAAAAAAATTTAGGGGTTGCTCAAGACCCTTAAACATCAGACGGGTCCTTTTTTTTCAAAATATTAGGGACCTGACTGATGTTTAAGCGTCTTGGGTGACCCCTAAATTTTTTTTTTGATTCAAACTTTTTTCAAATTTAGTTTTAATTTATTACATAAAACACATTTAGGGGGTAACAGCGGACAATTTCAAAAAAAGTTATTTTTAGAATCACCCAAATTTCTATATATTGCTTTATAGAACCTTTTTATTATTACAGTTAATAAATTATCAATAGAACAAGATGATTGAAATCTGTTTTGAATATTAGAGAATAAGTTGCAGAACTCAAAATGTGCTATTAGAAGTTTGTTAAGGGCAATTTCATGTTAAAACATCCAATTTTTTCAAAAATGCAACCCTATGTCTTAGATTTTGCTGATTTTTAAACCACTTAAAGGTTTTGCTGATTTTTAAACCACTTAAAGGTAAATTATGAACATCCTAAAAATTTCACTATCTAATTTCAATCGGTTCCTAAGATATAGCTATTTTAATTTTGCCTCTAACCAACAAAAACCCGCCATTTTTAAAAATGGTTTTTTTAGTTGCTGTTGCCTTGCATTAACTGTATCCTTGGTAATTTTATAAAATATGATAGTGTTTATATTAATGATGTACAACTCAAGCATATCATCAACTGTCAATGTTTGGTTTTCCAATGGTCTTTGTAAACTTGCTCTTGCTGTTATTCTTTTAATGGTACCACTTTTGCCATCACAAGTGGATTTTCCATGGCTGGTTGCAAAAAATACCCATTCGACTGTAATCTCAAAATCTTCCTTATGGTGGCATAGATTTATAAAGTGTTTTAGTTTTTATAATGAGCAGAACATCCATCAGAGAAATAATAAATTTTATTAATACTAACTAAATATTCTTTAATGTACTCTATAATTTTCTTTTGAAATTCATACACAAATCACGTATCTTGATCATTGTCATCACTTTACTATTAGAAATTTCCTTAAAATATATAACAACTGGATGTAGTGTACATTTTTGTTTATTCCAATGATAACTTTGTATTTCATCCTTATAACAAATTGATAGTTCTCTGCAAACTCTGCCAGTATGATACATTCATTGTAACCTAAATTATTTTAAATTATTTCAAATAGTGAGTTTGGCATTTAGCAATATATGAATGTGATTTTAGTTGATTAATGTGAGAAACAACTAGTTCTTTATATTCAAATAAGTTAACTGTCTGATTAATTGTGATCTATCAGTACTTTGCCATTGATTAAATTGAGTTTTTTCTTCATCAATCTCACTTAATTCCTCATCTAAAAATGCCTTTAAGTTATCATAACCTGAACATTTAGCACATCTATGAACCATATATTCATTATTGCTTGTATTACATACTAATTTTGACATAAAATCTTTGTATGTAACATTCCAATGGTCACCATATACAAGCAATATTGAGTTTTGATGGGGAATACAAACACATACACAGTGTGTACCGATTAGTCCCACACTAGTACACCATTTTGGGTGCAAAATGGTGTGTTAGTGTGTACAAAACTTTGAAAACCCTATTTTAAAATTAGGATATTATTTAAAAAAATCAATATAAAGCTCATGGAAAAAAAATTGGGCGGCGCTACCCCCTCGTTCCGGCAAACTTTAGCGGAAAATCGACTTGGTGAACAAAATAGTTTGATTTTTTTTTTTTCCACATAAATCCTTTATATGTCTAAAGAATCACTTTGTACTAAGGTTTTTGTATTTGTATCACTTTGTATTTATTTGTATCACTTTGTATTTATTTTTAAAATTTTAGTTAAATAGTTGCTAATAATAAAAAATATTTAACAAACTTTATAAAACTTTTAAAACACGTATTTATAATTTTTTAATTTCAAATCATATAACTTCTTAAAATCATGGAGCTGAATAACAAACTCTTCTGGAGTTGATGCAACAAACTTTAAAAATAAAAATGCGTACTTCAGAAAAAATAAAAATTTATCAGTAGATTTGAAACTCTATTATTGATATTGTTATATAATACGTTTGAAATATATAAACAAATGTAAATAAATATAAAAATTTAAAACTCTATTATTGATATTATTATATGTTCACAACGTTTTTAATAATTCTGTAGATTATTTATTATCTCTATATATAATAATGTATTTCTTTTATTTTTAATTTATTGGGCGCAGATTCTAGATGAATAATATTAGAAAGTTTTTATTATTATAAAGTTTTCTGAGTTTTTAAGGTACTATGCAAATAATCAACATGGACTCTTCATTCGTCTATTTTCATGATAACTTACCTGTTTGTAAATACTATATCATGTAGCACCATTAAAACCAACTTTGCATTTAAACATCAGTTTAGTTAATTCTTTAGTATTGTTATTATAACAGTAGTTTGTATACCACATAGCTTTTTAAGAGCATGTTTTAGAAGATCTTTTAGTGGTATTTGTACAGAATAACCATCTATTAAAATGTTCTTGGGATAGCATTTAGCTTTTAAAGATCTTATGCCATTATATAAAGGATATATGTGGCAACTGTTTTTTTTCTCAAAAGCTGATATGTTGATTTTGATAGCTTTGATTTGAAAGCTTCATCAGGTGAATATATCTTAGCAGCTTTAATGGGAGTTTTATTACAAATTTCAGAAATTTTTGCGCCAGTTTTATACTTAAACTCACTTCTTAGTTTTAATTTTGTTGCATGAAGTGATTTATGGCTAAATAAAATATTTATAACATTGTTAAGCTTATTCTTTTCATCCTGTTACAAGGTTTTTCAAAAGAGCAACATGGTTTCCCATCTTTATTAACTGATGATGTAGCATTTAATATACCTTAGGTGTATTAAAAATCTTGAGCTAGCCAGTTTTCATTATTTTTCTCAAAATGAGTATTATAATTGTTTGCAGCTATCAACATTTTTCATTATATTTTTATAAAGTTTTTTACTCAGAATCCTCTAGTTTAATATTTGCAGAAACTAGAACAGTTAATTTTGATGAAAAGAATGGTATATCATTAGGAACTAGTTTATTTTGTCGTATAAGACTGTAAATGGCTCCATTTTTATATTATTACTAAACAAAAAAATGTTAGGTAAACAGTGTAATTTGTATTGAATTAAATAGCCAATAAAATAACATGTATTTTTCTTTACGAGAAATAAAAGTTGATTTTAAGCAAATAACATAAGTTACGAGTCATTATTTTTAAATGTTAAAGAAACCAAAAAGGGGAAGTTAGGGGCAATTTTTGTGGTTTTAAAAGATACTATTATACTCAAAACAATTTCCATAACTTTAAATGAGAGTATTACAAAAATGTTTTATAATATGGTTTCGAATATAATAAATATTTATTTCTTAGGTTTTGTCCACCATCTGGCCCACTGTGCACCCTAGTAAAATCGTGATAAATGTTTAAATTTTAGGTATTATGATCATTTTTAAATATTTTAAGTTGTTTCATTGGATTCGTTGGCCCAAAATATGTAAAAGTACAAATTTTCAGATTTCTAACACACCTCTAATAGAAACTAGGACCAAAACTATTTTTAAAAATGGCACTTTTTTGTTGGCTTGAGGCAAACTTAAAATAGCTATATCATAGAAACCAATTAAAGTTAGACGGTAAAATGTTCAGGGTGTTCATAATTTACTAAAATCTTTAAGTGGTTTAAAATTCAGCAAAATCTGAGACTTAGAGTTGCATTTTCAAAAAAAATTGGATGTTTTCGCATGGAATTAAATAAAAGCTAAAAATATGTTTTGTAGATATATAATATGTGTATTTGTTGTTTTCAGAAGAGGTTATCTAATATTAAAAGTTTTTCATAATAGCAACTTTTGTATTGATTGTATTTTTCTTTTTTCAATTAAAAGATTTTATTATTTTATATATAATTTATCACCTGTATAAAAGTTTATACAGAATTTTAAATAGAAATTTTTGGAGATCATGTTATATATCCTGAAATTCCTGTTAAAAAATGTCTTCTATTAAGTGGTCAAATTCAAATTTTCCAGTCACTTGGTATGTTGTATATATAGTGACTCTGTCACTTATTTATACAACATATTTGGTCATTGTTAATTTGGTCATTGCTTGGTCATTTTTTAATCTATTTAGTCTTTGATTGATCCTAAACACTAAATTACCTTTAAACTGCTTCACTTGATGGTGAAAGAAAAAATCAGTCTAAAACAATCTTAGAGAATTTTAGAAAATCAAAAAAGGTTTGGTTACAATGGAGAGACTTGTTTTATCTCCTTCAACTACTTCAATTGCTATGACCATGCTTGGTTGGGAAGTGGGAGCGATCGCTCTCGAATACTGACCACGGAAATAATATTTAGATGCGAAAAACTGGCCATGTTTTTTAGTCGTTTTGAGAACATTTAAGTTTATGAATGGAACAAAAAAATTTTGTTTTACAGACATACATGGAAACATAATAAACTTGAATGTTCTCAAAACATCTTAGTGCAGAAGAATAAAAAGAAAGTTCACGAACACTAAAAACCCGCCAAATTAATGAACAAACTAATTCTATTGGTTCAAAAAATACGCTGACTAAGCAAAATAAAGTATTAAAGAGTATAAAGAGTATTCTGTTGAAATGTTTTAGAAATTTTTAAAGCAATTTTTATGATTTAATTTGTAAACAAAGACTTATAAAAATAATTGCGTTTTCAATGAAGTTATTAATAATCATTCCAGTTAATAAAACTAATTATGTAACAAACTTATAAGAAGTTTCTGGTTATTAAACACAAACAATGCATTCAAAGTAACTCGAGGAGTTACTTTGAATATTAAGTACCGCGCCTGAGGTCACGACAGAACACATATATATAGCAAGTTATAAAAAAAAGTTTCTAGATATTACTTTACTAACTCTAATTATTTTCACTTAAGTTGTCATTCTTAAAAACTTGTTATACTTTTTTCAGCTTTAAATACTAATTAAAATTAAAGAGCTTACTCACTAAATATCATCAGCGATAATGTGAAGCAGTTTCGCTTCCTCGTCATAAAGTATTTTTAACCTTTTTAGTTGATTTCTATCTAGTTAATTTAATTTCTGTAGTAATTCAATGGTTTGATTATTTCATTTTTTACCTTACTAAGAAGAATTGTTTTAAATATGTTAAACATTTCAAACTACGCGAAGCATAAAATAGGTATTAAAAAAATTAACTTTTTTTTTATAAAATATTTTTATAAATATTTTTATAAAATAATTTAGCTTAGATAAATTTTTTAGATGCATTTTTTTTCATTAGAATCTTGTTAGACTTTTAAGAGTCTAAGGGCTATTTTTATTTTGGATGCCTTTGTATGTGCCACAGCGTAAAAATGACTAAACAAAAAGGTCTTCTTGACTTTTTGGGGACCCTAACATTGCGGGGCCCAGGGCTATATCCCCCTCTAAACCCAACCCTCCTTAATCTAGCACTGGAAATAAGACACGAGTATAGAAATAAATATTATATTACACTCTTTGTTAAATAAAGAACATTTGTTTCCTTTTTAAACAATCGTAAGATGTTACCTTATATAAAAAAACATCGCTTAATTTTATAAAAAAATTATAAAAGAGCAATGTTTCGAAAATATTTGTTCTAAATGTAATTTATTTTACTTTAATTTTTTTGCATTGAAAGATATTTTTTTTGTTATTGTCTCTCATCGGTCCAATTAATTATTTGCGCATTTTTTTTTGCTTTTTGAAATGTTCTCAAAATGACTAAAAAATCTGGCCAGCTTTTTGCAACTAAATATCATTTTAAATAATATTGATAGGAAGCTGCTATTAATATGAGATAACTTGCATCAGTAAACATCAAGTTTAGCTTATGAGCTAGACATCTGTAAGGGTGGAAAATCATGAATTATTAGGTGCTTTTTATTTTGGCTGTTTAAACTTTGTATTATTTTTTCAAATACCATATCTTTGTCAGTATGACTTTCTACACTTAAAAATATAAACTAAAGTGTGTTTAATAAGTCATCATCAACAAAAATTAATTTAAATTTTTACATGAAAATTAATTTAAATAGATATTACTTTCGAGAATAACAAATGAAACACTGTATCACATCAATCACAATTAATCTAAGAAGATTTCTCTGATTTTATACTTAAGTTCTATTTAAAAAAAAGTAACTGTCTAAAGTGAAAAAACTTTTTAAAGTCAGAATGTCAAAATTTGTTTTCAGTGTTTTCTATTATTCATTAGAACATAAGAAAATTGTAATATCGTTTAAACATATTTAATAAAATACTTTCTAGATAAAGTCGAAGAAGTTTAATCATTAAGTTTTATCAAAAAAGCATTTAACTTTAGAATTTAGAATTTCATAAAGAAACAAATTGTTTTATAAAATAAATTTTAATTTTCATAGACTTTATATTAATTACGAAAAATATATTGAATATGAAAAATTTAAATTTAGTTTCAAATGAATATAAAATAGTTTGGCAATTTTTGTTACAGTTTTTTTTTTTAATCATCTGCTAACTAATTCTTTACGAAAAATATAAGTCTCCATCATAGATTATCAAAGATTTTTATAAACGAAAAAAAATTAAAATTTTTCTCATAAAAAGGGAGAAGTGCTTTTATTGAAAAGAATTATTTTCACAAATGTATTTTTTGTTTCTTATTAATTCAATATCGTGTAAAGTTCTTTTGACGTAATTCATTAAAGAACATAAATTAGGTTTACAAATATCTTATTTGTAACTGATAAAATCTATCTATAAATTGTTTATAATCTTTATTAAAAGTACTACCTTAAATACGAAAAAGTTAAAATAAATAAATAAATTGTGGTAAACAAACAAAAAATTATGTAAGTTACAAGATTGTTATAAGAAATAAATTATAAGGAAAAGTAATCTGTTTAAAATACTGAATTGTGATTCAATTAATAATTTTTGTTAAATTTGTTTAAATAATTTTTAACGCAGTTTAAAATTAAATTTAATTATAACGCGGAACTTTAAAATTTTTTCAAAATATCCATAGTTTTTCAGCTCCTGTAACATGATCTTAATAATTTCAACACATTAAAAACAATGGGTTTTATAGTATTTTGAATTGTTTTTATATTTGTCAATACTTTCTTGTTGTAAAAAAGACCGCATATTTTTTTAATAAAATAAGCGCTCAGTTTAAGTGAAAAACCTAATGGTGTATATATTGGCATGTGCTTTATATAGTTATAAAGCACATGCCAATATATACTCCATTAGGTTATATAATTTTCTTTTTTCAAGATGTCCACCGAACTTCAAGAAGAACTGACACGAGAAGAAGCTAAAAGAATCTTAAGACGCTTAGGTATAATTTATTTGTTTCATATCAAAACAAAATAGTGATAACACTTATAAATAGTTTTTTTATAAATATATACCACTCTTTTGTTGATAATTTTATAAAATAGTGTATAAAAGCGATTGACACACTCCCTGTTGCTAAACAACACTATCTGTTGCTAAACAACACTATCTGTTAGACAAAAATGCTGTTATGATTTTACATCTATTATTTGCATTTCAGTGATGTAATTTTATGGTCTTCTGGGAGTATGGGATGATTAGTCCTTTTAAAAGAATAGATAAAATTTATTATAAATTACTGATCTATTGCCTAGCAGGACTGCTAGAAAATTATACTTATTACCTAGTATTTACTCATATAGCTATATTTTTAGTAAATCTGCAAGAACCTTTGTTGTTAATATTTAAATAAAAATAATTTATTGAGTTGTTGAGTGTATAAAAAACTATCAAAAAATTGAAATTGGTCTATTAATAATCATAGCAGACAACTTAGTTAGACATATTTTAGTTGCCTTAAGAGTTGGAAGTTACTGGAAGAGAAAAAATGAAGTTTATAGAGCAAAATAACGATTAAAAGATGACTTGCAAGCCTTCCCAGGAAACCCATGCAATTTTTCGTCCTAGACATGTTTTTAAGTCATGTCCACACACAAGTATTTTATTTTAAACAACTTGGTCATTTGCAAGTTATGTGTTGCTGAAAAGGTTTCAAAAACTAAGAAAGCAAAATAACAAAATAGAAAATTCAAATAAACTTATTTATAATATAATAATAACAGTTTAAATAAATTGTGTACTGTTTATTTTTGTTTCTTTGTAGTTGTTTTTATTTTTGGCAACAAAATTCGGTCAGTCAAAAAAAAAAAAAAAAAAACATTTTTAAATATTAAAAAAAATGATTTTCCTATATTTTATTTTCTTTTTTTTTATAGAGGAAAGTGAAAATATAAATTGTCATCTGTTTGTAAAATATATTTGTATAATTTTAATGTATCAAGTATATATCAAGGGTTAAATTAAGTGATCACAATTTGAAAACTCTGGAAAAATATCTGGCCTTCAAAATTTTAGTTTATGCAAAACCGTGTTCTTTGTTTTCAAGGAGAAAATTAAAATAAGTTTGTTAGAGAGAAAGTTATTAAAAACGAAACAAAAAGATAAACTTATGACTACCTAACACTCTAGTCAATAACTGCATTATAAAAGTAATAAAACTTTAATAGTGTTATTAATTTTATAAGGCACTTATTACTTTTAAAGCTCATTCTTTGTTCAAGCAACATTAGTAATTCCAAACATAAATTAGAGTAGAAATGTATCTAGAAAAAATAAAGCGGATATTCCAATATTATTAAAAACTTCAGGAACATTTACAATTCACTTAAACAACTTTATAAAAACTTTATAAAAAGTTTAGCGTTATAAAAAACGTAAGTAATAGTCTGTAAATACACGCCTAAATTTTAAAATCAACCTATAAAAAAATTTTGTTGTTGATTTTAAAATAAATGCACATTTTTAGGGACCATAAGTATGTTTTTCATAATGCCTAACTTTTTATAAAGTACATTTTTATAAAGTTGTTTAAGTTCCTTAAGTTTTAAATATTATTTGAATATCCATTCTATTTTTCTAGATGATTTTCTACTTCAATTAAAATTTGGGATTACTTATGTTGATTGAACAAAGAATGAATTATAAAAGTTGAAAGTGCGTTATAAAAGTAATAACACAGTTATAGTGTTATTACTTTTATAATGCAGTAAGTTACTAGAGTGTTACTACTTTTGTAGTTGTAAGTTTATTGTTTTATTTTTGTTAATTTTTGTTTGGAAAATCATTTTTTTTATTTTCGACTCAAAACTGTTTGTTTTTTTATTATTATTGCTTCGCCTTATCTAATTTTGTTGCTGAATGTAACAACCACTATAAAAAAACAAAAATAAAAAACTATACTAATTATTTAAATTATTAATTTATTTTTATTTATTTTTTACTTAAATTTTTTTCTATTTAAATTTCTTTCTATTTCCTATTTTGTTAGTTTCGGTTTTTTTGTTTTTGAATCTTTTTCCGCAATGAATATTATAAAACTTGCAAGCTGCCGTCACCAAGTTGTCTAAAATAAAATACTTGCGTGTGGTCATTTAAGACAAAAAACCGCACACATTTCCTGGAAAGGCTCGACTTGGAAGATTGCAATTTTTATGAAGAAGCATTTAATACAAAACTTTTTTTTAATTTAATAGAAGTTAAGGCTTCCATTAAAGTACAACAGACGTAGCAATAATACAGTAAGCAAGCTTAAAACAAGACATAACGCCTAACAGAAATGTCATTGACAAACGGAGGTTTATACCCTGTGGATTTCAAACTGATGATTTAGGTGAAGTAATTTTAATATGGTGTAAAACTTGCCGAGAGTATTCAGGGTTTTTAGAAAATTGTCATAATAAAAATAAAAGCTGTGCTAAATTAGCAACAGAAACATTTGTACGGGGAACTCAGTTATAAAAAAAATAACTTGATGATGATTGGACAGAAAAATCTGATAATGAGTAAATTATGAAAATACGTCAATAAGACAATCGCCATTGCGCGTAAACAATGTTTATATTTATAATTAGCTACACAAAATTTAATTCCTACATTCTTTAAAGTATTATTGTATGAAGCTATCCTATTATCAGGGATTATCTTTTTCTGGATATTTCCGGAAATCCAGATATTTTTTTCAACTTTTATTTTTTCCGGATATTCAAAACATTTTCAATACGTGCAAGTTGAGGTATACATTTTTGTAATATCAGGCCTTGTTTTAAAGCGTTACGCCTAGAGCGATTTACGTACGCCTAGAGTTGCACCCCCAAAAAAAACGGTGTTTTTTTTTCAAAAAAAACAGACTGGTTCTAAAAACATGTTTTTTATAGTTTTTTTTGCTTTTTTTTAGTATTCATTAAATTTTAGATAATAATAATACTTGAAACAGTTCCAGTGCTCTTAACCCTACAAAATACAAATGTTTTCTATTTAATAAAATGCATATTAACTTATATAATAGCTGTTACAAACTAATCACCAATATTAAAAAAAAACAGTATTAAATATTTAAAAAAGTAATTTTTAAAATAAATCTCAAAAAAACTATACTATTTGCTACTAGTTGATTGTAAGTATAATACTACTGAATGAAGGAAATAAAAATGTTATTTTAGCAGTGTTATTTCATTCATAAAAATGAATGAAATAACACATTCATAAAAATGAATGAAATAACACATTCATAAAAATGAATGAAATAACACTGCATTGCAAAATACAAAATTGAACCAACTGTTAAATAAAATTTACTTTAATGTTTTATTTACTTTTGTATATTACTTTTTTAAATTTTTAATATTTAATTTCTTTATTTTATTTTAAATTGCAATTAGATAGCTAAAATTTTATTTATTCAAACAATATTCCAGTAAATAAAAATAACACAATGATTAACTTTGTCTAATGAAAAAACATTTATATTAAACAATTTGTAATCTATTAATTATTTTTAATTAAAAAAAAAAAAAGAAATCTAAAAAAAAATATGCCAGGCAAAAAGAAATGTTTTGTAGCTACATTGTTCAATAAGGCACCTTTAGAATCTGGAGGTTCTAAAATTCAACAAGTTATATGCAAATTTTGCAGCTTAAAGCTATCAAAAAATGGCACTCGAATGACTGAGCACATTGCAAAATGTATGAAATGTGGCGATCAAATAAAAAACAAATATTTGAACGATATGCCTTTTAAACAGAAGAAAGTTCAAACTGAACTAATGATGGAAGAAGATATTCCTGAAAACTTACCTATTCAAGATATGAAAAAAGAGAAAAAAATATGTTTATCATCTGCTATTCCACAAGTTCCAATTGAATCTTTCTTTCCAACACCAAGCTGTTTTGGAAACCAAAGTAGGTCTACAACCCCTAAGTTTGGAGACTGTAAGGCAAATAAAACCAAATCAGATAAGCCTCCCTTAAAACGATTGTATTCTTCAACAAGAGTTCCATTCACAACTCAGAAAAATAAAATTGCATCCGGATACGAATGCAATTTTATTTTTCTGAGTTGTGAATAGTTGTGGATGCAATACGGATTTGACTTTACAATAGAAGACCTTAATGAACAAGAAAGCTAGAATACAGAATCTGTTATTAATTAAAAATAAATCTTTTAAATTATGTACTATATATTTACCATATATCATGTTATTAATATATATTATATTACATTTATAATAAAAATAAAAATTAAATAAAAGTAAATAATTTTTTTTTTAATCTAAAAAACAAAAAAAACCATAAAAAACACAAAAAACACAAAAAAAACATGTTTATTTTGCAAAAAAAACACAATTAAAAAAAAAAGATTTTTTTTGCAACTCTACGTACGCCTTAAGGGCCTTTTACGTACGCGTAGAGCTGTTTTGGTTAAGCTACTTTTTATCGTTTTTTAACTTTTAAATTAGCGGTAACATAAAAGAAGTAATTAATTTTTAAAAAAACCACATTAACTTTTAAATAACGATATGTAAAGATATTTATTTAAAAAAAGAATTTACTTTAAAAAAAATTGTTGTAACTTTTCATCGCGATATATCTTTCCTTTTTATAGCAATTAATTTTACGCTAAACTTTTTATCCAAATATTTAGCAACATGAAAAATTGTTTGTCAATCCTTAACTACAAATTTTTTGCAATGTTTTTAATAAAAAGTAGTAAAAAATGTCTTAATATTTTTGTTATCATGATAACAAAAATATCAAGACATTTTTTCGAGATGTTAAAAAAAATGTCTTTGCTTTTCTTATTAGTTAAAGGTATATAGTTTAAGTTTGCGGGGGGAGGGGGTCGGCACAGAAAAAAAAAAATTACCTGTTACTCGCAATATTTGAATGAAGACAATTTGTTATATTTTTTCTGCGTGCGATTCAATAAGTTTTTTTTTTCATAAAT